ACGGGAAGAGTGATCTAGTGACCGATCCATCGGTTAGCAAAGCACTGTATGAGAGGTCAAGTAGTTCAGACAAGAAACTGTTCCTTTATGAAGATGCTTGTCATGCCTTGCTTGAGGGTGAGTCGGATGAAATGATACTTCGAGTCTTTGGTGACATTATTTCATGGCTGGACGAGCATACCATCTCCTCCTAGACATTTCTGCAATGTTTGTGTTTTATGTTTGTTTCCTAATTTATCTCGTAAGATTTACATGACCCTGAAGGACATTTCTGTTGAGTCGTAACTTGTACATGAAATAATATGCAATATAGTTATTTTGAATTTAAAACTTTTCGGGACATAATCAATTGTATTTAATTTTTTAATATGATACGATAAGAGTACTATATGTTATCGTGGAGGTAAGATTTTGACCAAAGGGTTCATCTTAATTTTATTAGAAATGTATATTCATTCACCATCGTCTAAAATTATCAATTTTGTTTTCCTAGTTTTGGAAAAAAGGATAATCCGGAGAAAAGGAAAAAAGGATAAACCTGTCAGAAGTTGGACCAATAAAAATAAAATCCAGGTTATGTAAATCCAAATGCTTCCTTATAATGGAATTAATCGAGGATTTCTAGAGCTCACGTAAAATATCAAAAATCAAATTATATAATTGTATTGAAATTTTTAATAATTTAGTAATTCATTCTTTGATGTAATATTTGATAGTAAAATTTTGTAATTATGGTATTTGGATTTGGTATGAGACATTAGTTATTTGGTATTTTCTGAATATCAAATTATTTACTTAATGAAGGTCATATATCAATATATTCATCACTCGTTAGTACAAGTCCAAAGAGAAAGTTTTATATATTACATAGGCATGTACAATTCAAGTAAATATATAGTCGATCTTCTATTATATCGTGCTTTCACATACAAAAATAAAAATGATGGGAAAAATAGTATAACCGAATATCGTATCAAATCAAAAATATTCATTTACCGTTATCGAATTATCAAATCGAAATTTAAAATTTTGATATTCAATTTTAAAATTACCAAATTATCAAACTTAAAATTTAAAATTTTGATATTCAATTTTAAAATTACCAAATTATCAAACTTAAAATTTAAAACCCCCAAATTAAATATCGAATGCCGAACACTGGATCTAAAAATTTGGAATACAGAAGTAAATGGAAGAAAAATTCACACATTAGTTGAAAAGAATATCTTTCATATATTCGATTTGAATAAAAGAATAAATAAAAAGGAAAAAAATAATTTGAATAAATTCGAGTCTCACATTGCGTAAATGACAATAATGGCCCCTTATGTTTGAGGCTAGAACTAGGGAAAACAAAGAAGAGGAAATCAGTGAAAACTCGCATTCATAGATACAACCTTTTTTTTTTTTTTTTTTTTTTGAAGTTTTTGTTATATTTTTAAAATTTTAACAAAAATGTAAAATTTTATTTGGTAAACGTGAGGGACCATTTTTGTCATTTAATTTGGTAAAATTTTAGTTGTATTTGAAGTCGGTCTGTTTCACTCTTATATGAGAAGAGAATTCATCAAGAGGGCCAGGGCTCATGATTTATCATTCTGTTGGTGAAACCTCTCATTACTGTACTTGCAATGTTTAATTTTATTTTCCAGATGCCATTTTTGCTATAATTCTTATTGTTGTTGCTCGCAATTCTCACACCCATCAACCATGGCCTTATCTTCTACTTGCTTTTCTCACTCTCAATTCTCACTCAAGGTATGCCCTTTCTCTGCTACTCTCTATTCATAGCTTGTAATATAAGTTTTTCTTCATTAAATTGCTGTTTATTGTTTGTTCTCAGTTTTTTTAATTCATACCCCGTATGTATGTTAAACTGATACACACATTATTTGCTACTTGTACTGTGTGGTTAGATCTGAAGTTTCTCCGTTGCTATATGAATACATTGAAATTGAAAATGAAAATTTGAGAGCAATTAAGATGCTAGTAAAGTCTTCATGTAGATAGTGCTGAGCAACTATCTATCATTTGAAGATATTTTGGCAATAGGGAGTGTTTGGAAGAAAAAACTTTGAAGAATGAGGTGCTAGTGTTTGGAGGTTTAGTGAATTGAATGTCAATCAGGTACCGTTGAAGTCTCAATGTCATTTGAATTATGCTATTAGAAATTAGGCTTGGTATATTGCATGCCAAGCAAATCTTCAATAAAATTTATCTATACTTGGTAACGGAAAAAAGAAAATGAGGTTTTCCAACTCACTAAGCACTAACGAGTTTGAAGCTACAATGAAATTCCAAACCTGCTAAACTATTGTTTTATTAGAAGTAATCAATCTCTACTACTTACTGTAGATGGACTGCTGGACGCCTGCTCTGTCATCAAATATCCTATGTTATATCAGGAGGAAGCAGCCTCCATCCTCCACACTTAAAACAATAAACTCAAACCTTTTAAGTCAACAAGTTCATAAACGAAGAACCAAGCATGGCAATGGATGGAGTTTCCTCGGAGGATCAAGAGTAAAGTGTCAGCCTAACCTCCAAAATCTTCCACAAAGAAGAAGCTACAGGGTGTCTGCTATGTGTAATCTTTTCTTCCACTGCTTATCTTTATTTCTCAACTCGTGTCATGCTACTTCCTTTTTGGTTCTTTTGGATAATTCTTGGGAATCAGCTATGTTCGGTCAGGAATGTGGTTATTTACAGTCATCTCATAATGATTCGCTTTAGGTTATTATGACACCTACCTGCCAAAACATATGTTAATCAACAAACTGAATTCAAAAAATCTGTTACAATGCATATTAACTTTGTACAAATACTTTTATGTGCCCACTTGGCTTAATGTCCAAACCTGTTATCCTCCTATTAGATGAACCAGGAAAAACAAATTCAAAAAGAAAAGTACTTTTAGAAGTATAACAATTTGCTGTCTTCTTTCAATCTGGTTGATAATAGAAATATCTCCCACCTTGTCCAATGTTCCGTTGAAATCTCGTTTCTCTCATTTCGTTGCTGGATTTTCTATCTCATGTCAATGAAAGAATATTCTTACTTGCTAATGTACATGTGTAAACTGCTAGTGTCTTACATTATACCGAAAGACAGTTTTGATGTATTGTATATGGAATATCAAACTGAATATCGAATTGATCTATTTGATTATAAATATATATGTATATAAATATTTATACATGTTTTTTAAGCTTCTTATTGTGTACTCTCTTTGCAAATGTTTTAGTGTCATCTATTTGAACTTTTGGGACAACTGATGTCTTATTTTTACAGGGTTGCCTAGTTCTCAAGTAGCTAGTAGTGTCTTTACGCTAGGAACAGCAGGCGTTCTTCCATTTTACACCGTCATGATTGCAGCACCTAAAGCAGAACTTGTAAGTAATCTCAGTTCTGTAAAGCAACACTGTTTTTTTTATTTTCTAGAGAGTATGCCCTATGGATATATTATCAACTTAGGAAGCTCTTGTTTATTTCTTTTCTTGGAAGACATAAAGAAAAGTTACACATGCCAAGTTCTCTCTCCTTATGTCATCCACAAAAGTAGAAGTCATGGGGCATAATTTCAGTTGCATTGATTTGTGATCTAATTGCAAGATACTGATTTTGTGCCTTTCCAAGATATATTGTAATATAGGGCATAATTAAATACTTAATGCAGACCAGAAAATTGATGGATAGTGCAATACCATATATTGTGCTCGGACTTCTGTACGCATATCTGTTGTACTTGTCTTGGACACCAGATACAATTCGGCTGATGTTTGCTAGTAAATACTGGCTTCCAGAGGTTTGTTCTTGTACTTAACAAATGATAGTTGTCATCTTGTGCTGATACCGTGATTTAGGCTGTTGACATTTCATTCTGTTCAGCTGTCTGGTATAGCAAAGATGTTCTCCAGTGAGATGACATTAGCATCTGCTTGGATTCACCTATTGGCTGTAGATCTTTTTGCTGCAAGGTCTCTCTCTTTCTATCTCAAAACCACACTTCATTATTGTAAATGTGTTGGATTGTCCGTGTTAGTTGAGGAAATGGCCATTTGTCTCTTTATAAGGTGTTGACATGTTGCACAATCCTCATCTTATGAGCTAGTGTTTGGAGTTGTGTTGGAGCCAGGCGGTAATATTTGGTTGTCCTACACTAGTTGAGGAATGGACTGTTCTTGCCTCATATAATCTTGGCCATTTCTCAATTTATGAGCTAGCTTTTAAGATTGTTTCAGATTCAAGGCCATTTCGTTAACAGTATGTTTGTGCAGCCAGTTGTTCTTTTCTGATCCTATTGGGTCGAGGAAAAAGGAGGAAGGTGCCTTGTTAAACTATTCTAATGCTGTTTTTTATTTGAAACAGGCAAGTTTATCATGATGGCTTGCAAAATGGTATAGAAACGCGCCATTCAGTGTCTCTCTGCTTGCTATTTTGCCCCATTGGGATTGTTATTCATCTCCTCACCAAAGCTGTACTACTAAGTAGTGCAGAAAAAACAGTGTTTAGAACTAACTGACAGAGATTCAACAATTGTTTCCTGTTAACGACTAATGTAATTGTGAACAAAAGGGTAATCTTCATTCAACTACGTAAAGTGTGCAAATTTGTATATCATTGATCCAACACTGCTTGAAGCATTCGAATTGATGAGCTCTCCTTATATTTTTCAGTAAATCTAAATTCTTTTTAGATGGCCGAATGTCAGTTTTCTTTCTTGGATCGTTACTCCTGCCAAATAAAGAAAACGTTTCTTCTTCTCCAATCCAATTACTGATAGGATGCAAATAAGAATTTCTCCTCTCATATTTGCCATAAACATTGCCTATAATTGACTTCTAAGTGACATAAAGTTGAAATTTGTTCTAATATCAGTTAAAAATTACTCTTCCTAAAAAGTTGGGTACTCTTTCTGGTCTCTGAAGAATCGCTTGGGTTACCTCATGGGTCATTATATTGTTTTCCTCATTATTTCATTCAAATTAATCAAGAACTGGTAGAGAAGAAAAGAAACGGTCCATAAAATATGGGAAGGTATATATACTGTTTGTACAAATATTTCACTAACCATGTTGGTCATATAAATCAAATCATAACACAAATTCAATGTTGATGCAACATGGCAACCAGCTAGGGGAATGGCACAGAACTTCTCTTCTTGTTATGTATATTCTTTGATGTGCTCTCCATGATTCCAGGCACTTGATATTTGGGCATAACTGGGAAGTACTGATATTATAAATAGTTTCAGGCCAATTACCACGACACAATAAGGAGTATCCGGAAAACATGTTTCTCCTCATTTGCATCACTGTTAAGAGTCAAAAGTATGATAGCTATCGCACCTGGACAAACAAAAACAATGGAAGTTCAGAAGGAAGCACCAGTATTCTAGTGACAGGGATTTGAATTTCGTAACTGCTTACTGTAAATGCTCAAAGAAGCAAAGCTAGATGCCACCAGAACATCATACTAACTATGTAGCTGGTCAAGAAAATTTTCTTCATTGGTTAAGAATCCAGAGGCATTAATTTATTCAAAAGCTGATCATTGTAACCATCTTCCAGAAAGAGACATGATAATAGCTGAACAAAGGTGAATATAAATTAAACAACCATATTATTTGAGAAATGGTTGCTCACATCAAGTAGGAAGTGGAGACATTTCAACTTGATCGTCCAAGATGCCATTGGAGCTTGAGCCTTGGAAAGAATCTCTCCTAGAACGATCCAATGATGTAGCTTCATATATGCCTACAAGATTTAGAAGTGAGACCAACTCACTAACCAATAAATGACTCACGCAAAGTAAATCTCAAACAATTACAGGTGTGTGTTTGTTTTTTGAATTTTGGGTGACGATGCAATAACAGATGATATGATTCAACGAAAGAATTTTATGACTGCAATAACATAGAAAAGTATTCCAGGTTTGACGGAACATCTCAACATAAAAAAATATGATCAACTTCAATTCTTCAGATTATTCTCTAATGACTCTACGTCATACTCATACCTGTGATGCAAAAACTATTACCTAGAGAAGCTTTTGAGTAAACACATTATGACAAAGAATTTCTTCTACTTTTTGATAAGGTAAAGTAATTCGTTATGCGAAACAAAATAGAAGAGATTGAATAATGAACTTGTTATCATAGTCAGGTCGAACTTCTTTTTTTTTAATAAGAAAGTCAAACTCAATTCCAATGCCAAGTGAATGCATTTTTTGAGAAGCAATATTGTGATGGATGAAATATCTCACATTTGAGTTGGAGAGCAACTCTTGGATAGACATGTTAAATGCATTTACCAACTCCATAGTCCATACTGAACTCTCGGGTGTTCACTTACAAGCCTCTTAAAGTCCATCCAACTTGTCAACTCTAATATTACAAATGTCTTTATTTTGACTGAAGAACTAGTTATGAGATGTCTCCAAGGAATTGAAATTGAAAAAATGCTTCTTAATCCTTTAGGTGGTAATGTTCATCTTGAGCATCTCTTCTTTTTCTGCTGAAATGTTAGTTAGTCTACTACAATTTGAAACAACCACCTTTTTTTATTCAGCATGGTCTCAGAACTTATTCATGTTCAACAATCATTATTTGATAGGTTCGATTAGCAAAGCAGTCCGATATGCAGAAATAGCTGTGCAGAAAGAAATTGGAAAAGATGAACCCCCACCCCTCTCACCATCAACAAAAACCCCAGTATAATCCCACAAGTAGGTACAATGTACGCAGACCTTACCCCTCCCCACCCCGAAAAAAAGAAAGATTGCATCATACCGATTCCCAAGATGGCAGCACAAACAAGAAAGCCGAGTAACGAGAAGTCCATTTTATATACTATCTCCATGACAATGATGCATCCTGCCGCAACCAATAAGTGCCTTGGAGAAGAGAAAACCATATGCAACCTATGAATAGACAATAATGTAGAATTTCCATATGAGACTGTTGACTTGCAGGTCTAGGGAAGAAATCAAATGAACTCAAAGAATATACAAAAGGATTCAGAACAGAAAACGCTAACGCTTCTGGTGATATGATCTAACATACCCAAAGCCGTAACAAAGACCACAATATATGCTTCTCTTACTTGAGCTCCATCAAAGACGACAAAAGTAATAACTAGGCAGGAAGGTAAAACATTTACTCAACAAAAGTTGTTCTTACCTTGCAATGGTCCACGACATAAAAAGTAAAGATGGAAAAATGAAATGCTAGCAGAAGAGAGGGAAAATGCATGCAAAATAAGAAGTCATGAGTCAATGCTGACAGGTAATTGCCAATAATGGGCTGTACACTACCAAAATAAAAGATATGAAGAAGACACAAATAAATTCATATTCCTTGAAGAAACAGAGATCTTTAGACAATCAGGTAAAATCGCTAAACATTAATTAATAAGGTGACGGTATTTGCTATAGCAATCAGTTAAGAGTTGGTAAACTAAATAATCTTACAAGGATCAGAAAGAAATGACAAAAGATTACCTCTCTTCTGCGATGCTATCAATGTAAAAAATCAATATCATCCCAAATAAAATGGTGCTTGAAAAAGCCCAGGCAGAAAAGGGCAGCTCTACATTGTTAGATCCCTGAATATCTCCACACAAAGAGGGAAAGCAATTTAAAAGAAGAAGAAGAAGAGATCCTTAACAACATAGCTACTGAACGTATCAAACTGTACTCACTATAATCATGTCCCACATGGCAACAGGAAACAAAAAGCATGTCGCAGAAGTAAGGGTTATGGCATGGAGTCGCCTCTTCAGTTGGTTCTGTGTAAATGAGATGAGAAATATTCAAGGATAGATTTTACTCCCTCCTTCATGTACCAGATAATAGAAAGTTTAGTGGATGAAATAGCTTGATGGGACTACACTAACCTTAAGTGAGACCCTTCTTGCGATCACCCTCCGAAGTGCTGATAAGATTCCAGCAAGAATGGGAAATAACATTTCCTTCATTCCTACTAGCTGTTCAGTATGTGCTTCATCATCAGAGGAGGCATTGCTAAATGGTATTTGTTTGTTAAGTTCGTTGCGACATAAGATTCAGCGAGCGAGAAACAGAGAAGGAAATTGAAGAACAAAGTGCTAATGCAGAATGAATTCACTAGAGCGAAGAGCTCAATATAGAAAGGATATGAAATGGAGAATATGTAGCCATTGCCCATCCTTGTGATAAAAAGTAGAAGGATGCAAGCATCGCTAGGAGTCCACCAACCTGATGATGGAGAAAATAGCAACGAATTACCACGCAAGAAAATGCAGAGTGAAGTAGAAAATTTTCCAACTGCTTTCTTTCTAATAAGTAAAATAATTTCAATTGTTTAATCCCATTTTCTACCATAACATAAACTTATAGCAACTAGATCATAAAGAGAAGAAATTAAGTTTCCTAGTTTGAGTCCAGTACGAAAGATACAAAATAAATTCAAAAGAGACAGATCCACAACAAGTCATGCTTTCAATAATCAGAGAATTATATCGCATGAATGTATGAGGATTCTTTTATAATTTCAAAGCAAATAAATTAATACAGTAGTTAAAAAGAAGTATACCTTTTTCCAAACATGGCCCCCCCTGCCATACAGTACCCCGGATAATACTCCTAGAACAGCACCAGAATACTCACCCAATATGGCCCTGATTGAATAGAATATTTAATCGCAAGGAGGCACTAGATAATTAACATAAAAAGAAACAATTTCAGACAGATGACCCAAGCAGAACCATCATATGTTTTCATGTATAGCCAGCCACAAGGGCAAGACATAATGATGATATGAAAGAATTTTCTCACAAAAATTACGTACCATGTGGTTAATAGTGCCAGAGTTACTAATAGGAAAAAAGGAACCATGCATAAAACAAATTCAAGGAAAAAAGTGACAGTAAAATATCACTCAACCTTGAACTTACCGAACGGGACCACAAGATTTTAGGCCCTTTCCCCACAAGATGAAGTAAAGAGCTGTTATACCACCATTTACAACTGAAGGTACCACCTGCAGAAACAAAGATTATCAGCAAAAACGCACAAGTGACAATGAAATGACCTTCTGTTAGCTTTTTGACATTTACTAAAGGGAAGAAAATGATAGCTCTACTAGACCTGTGTATTAGCAAGTGCCCTGCCCTTCCAAGGCTTTTGCGCTACTAGAAACCAGATGCATGATGGAAGAAGACAGCAGAACATAAATAGAACAACTGAAGCCCCTGTCTGAGACAAATAGCGGTACATGGAGTAAACTGACCATATTCTCATAAAGTTCCCAACAACATGGATTATCTGCAAGGGGGTTTGCCTACATTGAGACAAGTCTGTCAGTAATAACTTCTAAGGTAATATGGAGCAAGACTCACAGGCAGGAGGCAAAACTTAACACATGACTCAAAACTACATTAATAAATCCATTTTCACCATTTCCACTTAAAGATCAACAATTGATAGCCTTATTTACATAAGAGTGTTGGAAACTTGCTTCACTAAAATTTAAGAAATCACAAAAATTTAAGAACTCAAAACTAATAATATAACAGGATTATCCATCTGTGCTTCTAACTATTAATGAACTTAGCCAACTCCTTGAGAATCCACAATGAGGAAAACCAGAGGTCTTAAATTCAAATCCCAATGAAGGCCAAAATACTAGGTGAATGTGGTGGGAGGTAGAGGATACCCCGTAGAATAGTTGAAGTATGCCCAAGCTGACCGGACACGACCGCCATTAAAAAAAATCTTGAAAAGCCATGATTTGGATAAAATGACAGTATTGTTCATTATGAAAACGAAGGTTGCATATCTGAGAACATAATATTGTTGGAAGGATCCATTATTCGGCTTGGCCAATTTTCAACCAAGAAGGATGAACTCCAGCATTTTTAACTTATTCTCCACCATGTTTAGACTCAATCAGCTGATGAAAACAATGGCCCTATTTTGGTATGAGATAAAGAAGAGAAACATCTCTTGGTGAAAAACACCATTTTGCAGTGCTTGATTGCCAAAATTAAATTTTGTATTTAAGGGAAAAAGTTTCACCAAATAGGAGGAAAATATACACCTGTCATAGGCTAAGCCATTCCCACTCCACTCTAGATTTCACTCACTACTTTCAACATGTAACCACTATCTCCTCTTTCCTGCAAATTATTATTACCAAACCAGTATGCATCATCCCAACCCCAACTATCTACTACTACTAAAATGTACCATCTTTATCCCTTACTAAATGCTGGAAAATAACAAGGAGATAACTTTCTCAGATTAAAAAAAGAAACACTAAACAGGGTCAAAATATGCATGCTTCCAAATCTTGTTTGCATCCGTAAAAAAAAAACAAAAAAAATGATACTTGAAAATCAATTGAACGGTTAACCAGTTAATACAACCGTAAATTGGACGTCGAATCAGCACATTTCTATGGTAAACCCTCGAAACTCCAAAAATTGCCATGAGAGGGGAGGTCAATCACCTCCGTCTTAGCAAACAGGAAAAATTCACACAAATCCTAAAGTTCAAATCTTTCAAATAGATTAATTACAAAACGAACAAAGCACCATTTAGTCTTAGGAAATTCCAAATCAAAGTAAGCAGAAATGCACTGAATTTAAATTTAAAAAACAAAACAATAATTTCAGAGAAAAATTATAAAATCAAAATATGATTAACATTCGTGTCTTTTACAAAAGGATATTTGACATACCTCATGGTAGCAGAATGAGATGAACCTCGATTTTCTGAAAGTGGCTTCGGAGACATCATTTTTGCAACGACTAATCTGTTTTAAGCTTCAATGAATCGATTGAGAATGAACCGAGTTTAGTGGTAAATGCAGAGTGAAGAAGAAAGTGAATACGAATCTATGAGTTGAACAATGGAGAAAATTCATTAGCTTGGTGAAGGAGTGCAAGTCCATGAAAGCCGACGTTGATCTCGACAGCGAGAACCTCCCTCGATCCGCTCACGTTGAGTTTGGGCTCAATGTTGTTGGACTTGCATAATTGGGTCTCATTAATTGGGCCAAAGCACATTAATGGCCCAACTGTGTCTTGGCTCGGACAAGTTGCATAGATAGCCTATTGAAGGACGACTATTTTAGGGCATAGCAATGTTGCAAAATATTTACCTCTTGAATATATTGACTTAGCACGAAACTTAAGAAAAAAAGAATATTCAATGTACTAAAAATATTATTTAATTTTGTTGTTTTAAATATAAAATTAAAAATTAAAAAAATGTTAAAAAAGAAAAGAAAAAAATTATTTATAAAACGAAAAAGGGTCAAAAACACCCCTGAACTATCAGAAATAGCTCACATATAGCGAAAAAAAAAATCGAACTATTTTTAATATAGTGGGAAAAAAATCACCTTGTTAAAAGTGTGTGATTATCATGCGTGCACGCTTATGATCCAAAAATACTAATTTGCTTCCCTCACTATTTATACATTCGTTTCACCACTCAATTGAAGTACAAAACAATCTTTTCTTTTTCTTCTTTTGCATTGCTTTCTCCCTTTTCTTCTTCTACTCATTATATATAAAAAATTGATATAATGTTAATAGAGAACCACAAAACTTAACTACTTTCAACTTCATCCTTAAATATAAGTGAATTATAATAATCTTTTCATTTGTATGTTAAGTATAAAACAAAACTGACAAACACTTTTAGTACTCTAAAATCTCCATTCAAGACACATTTATTGATCATCTAGGGTTTAAGCCACTAAATTAGATATTTAAAAGAAATATTAAATTAACTTTTGTGCAATAATTGTGTCAAAAATATAATGTGCCTATTTATAAACATGGTTTATTTAACTTTTGTGCAATAATCGTGTCAAAAATATATAGTTATTTAAAAAGTGAAAGTAGAGATTGAAAATGTTGAGGAAATAAAGAGAAAATTGAAAAAAGTAAATCAAATGAAAACTCGAAAGAGGAAATAAAGAATTACGAAGAACTCAAATTTATAAACAATTTGGGTGAACCAGGGGATACTAGTTATGAAAATGTTGGTATGAATTTTAATTTTATGTTTTTGACTTTTCTCCTAAAGATGAAGAGTTGTTAATCAAAATCACTCTTTCAGGTGTATTGTTAGAGCCGTCGATATGGGCTAGCCTCGTTGGGTCGGCCTGGCCTAACCCGGGATTTAATAGGGTTGGGCTAAGATTTTTCGCGCTCATTTAAGAAAAGGGCTTTTTAGCCCGGCCTGAATAAGCCTGTTGATTTGATGGGCTTGAGAAATATAGGTAGGGCCGGCCCGTGGGCCAATAATAATTAATTAAAAATATAATATAATATTAAATTTTAAAATTAAAGAGAGTTCAAATTCAAAATAATTAGGTTATGATTTTTATTTAAATATTTATACTTTTACTTGAAAAAAAAACTTAATAAATAGAAATAATTTCAGAGACCTCCCTCCAGGTTTCGCTCTATAACACTCACCTTCCCTGTGGTTTACGATATTACGTCTATCTCCCTTATTTTTATTTTCTTGTAACCATTTTTTAAATCTATTTGAATAAATATAAATTAATTTAGATTTGACAAATTTACCGTTATATATGAATGTTTAGATCTAATTTTCAATGATTTATCTTTATTCGCTGGATCATGTTTCTTCTTCGCTTGTGTAAATGTTTAACTAGAGCAAAATCTTATCGTTCTTATCGAACTTCTTTCTTGGGAAGTTCAATTTGGTTTTCTATTTGAAGAAATTGTTGCCGGAAAATGATGGCTTATTGTGGGTGGGGGGGGGGGGGGAATTTACGTGAATTGGTAAAGGTGAAATAGAGATAAAAAAATTAATATTTGGTGAAAATGTGGGTCAACTTAGTTGAAGACTTTGATCTTTGTTGGATTAAAAAAATAGTCTTTGTGTTAATTTATTTTATATAAAAAAGAGTAAAATTGTCAAATCTATATTAATTATATTTATTTTAAATAGGTTTAAAGAATGGTTACAAGTAAATGAAAATAAGGGAGGTAGACGTAATATCGTAAATCAAAGGGGAGGTGAGTGTTATAGAGCGAAACATGGAGGTCTCTGAAATTATCCCTAACAAATATTATAAAAATAATTTTATTTTGATTTGATTAACAAGTACTACTAACATTAACATCATGTAATATTGTTTTGTCGATATTTATGATAATATTTTAAATTATAATTTAAAATTTAATTAAATAATTATAAAAAAATTTAATTTCTTTAAAAAAGTGAACTGGCCCGTCAAGCCTGTAGCCCACGTACTTTTGGATTGGGCCAACCATTTTTTGATCCACGCCAAAAATGGGCTAGCCCATATTGACAGCTTTATATATTGTGCTTTCAGAATCTTTAACCCCTAAATTATAAAAACACCAAAAAATAAAAGCAAATTTTCGCACTATAAAGTTAATCAAGGTGAAAAAGTGGTTGGTAGTTTTTGTTTGCATTTTATCATCTTGGGTTACAAGATTCAATATCAATTATCACGTTTTGGTTACCCTACAAGCAAATTTAATGGCATGTTTGAACAAAAAATTGAATTATTTTCAATAAAGTAGGAAATAAATCACCTTGTTAATAGTGTGTGATTAAGTATTGACTCATGCGTGCGGGTATATAATCCAAAAATACTAAGTTGCTTCTTTGGCTATTTATACACTCACTTCATCACTCAATTGAAGCACAAAAAATCTTTTATTTGTTCTTCATTTCCTTTGCTTTCTCCCTTTTTTTTCTTCCATTCTCTAAAAAATAAAATAAAAAAGATTTGATGTAATGTTAATAGAGAACCACAAAACTTAACTACTTTCAATTTCATCCTCAAATATAAATAAACTGTAACAATCTCTCAACTTGTATGTAGAGTATAAAACAAAACTGACATATTTTTAGTACTCTAAAAGATTCGTTGAAGAAACATTTATTAAGCTTGTAAGATTTTAATCTCAAGCTATTCAAATCAGTGTTCAATTAGCTTTTGTGTCGTGTCAAAAAAAAATAATGTAGCTATTTCAAAGTAGTGTTTAATTAATATTTGTGCAAACATTGTGTCAACAAAAATAATGTATTTATTTAGAAGTAGTGTTTAATTAACTTTTGTGCAACAATCGTGTCAAAACTTATCTAGTAATTTAATAGGTGAAAGTAGAAATTGAAAATGTCGAGGAGGAAAAAGGAGAAAATTGGAAAAAACATACTATAGTTAGAAACTCGAAAGAGAAAATTACACTATAAGATATAAAAAATTACGAGTAACTCAGATTTGTAAACCATTTGTGCGAACTAGGGGATGCTAGTTATGAAAATGGTGGTATAAATTTTAATTTTATGTTTTTTGATTTTTTTTTTGAAGTTGAAGAGAAGTTAATTGAAATCACTCTTTCAAGTGTATTGTACGTGCAAAATCTTTAACCTCTAAATTAGCAAAACACTAAAAAATAAAAAGCAAACTTTCACATTTTAAAGTTAATCCAAGTGAAAAAAAATAGTTGGTATTTTTCGTTTACCTTTTATCATCAAGGTATTACAAGAATCAATATCAATTACGATGTATTGATTTCCCTTTAAACAAATTTAATTGAACTATTTCTAATAGAGTGAGGAAAAAATACTTTGTTAATACTATGTGATTGTGTGTATAGTCATGCATGCACGTATATAATCCAAAAATATTAAGTTGCTTCCCTCACTATTTATACACTCACTTCACCACTTAATTGAAGCACAAAACAATCTTTTTTATTTCTTCCTTTACTTTGTTTTCTCCCTTATTTCTACTACTCTCTATAAAATAAAAAAATATTGACGAAATATTAAATAGAGAACCACAAAACTAAATTACTTTTAACTTCATCCTTAAATATAAACAACTACTGTAATAATCTCTTAACTTGTTATTTAAGTACAAAATAAAACTGAAACACCTTTTAGTACTTTAAAACATTCATCCAAGACACGTTTATTGAGCATGTATGCTTTTAACCTCTAAATTAGCTATTTAAAAGTAATATTAAATTAACTTTTGTGCAATAATTGCGTCAAAAAAATAATGTAGTTATTTATGACTGTGTTTAATTAACTTTTGTGCAACAATTATATCGAAAAATATACAGTTATTCAAAAGGTGAAAGTAGTGATTGAAAATATTAAGTAGGAAATGAAGAGAAAATTGAAAAAAAAAATACTTCATTTAGAAACTCGAATTATAAATTTCGCTATTTGATGCAAAGAATTATGAGGAACTCATATTAACAAACAATTTGGGTGAAAAATATTAGTTATGAAAATGTTGGTATGAATTTTAATTTTATGCTTTTTGACTTTTATCCTGGAGATGAATAGAAGTTAATTGAAATCACTCTTTCAGGTATATTGTGCATGCAAAATCTTTAACTTCTTATTTAAGATAACACCAACAAATAAGTAGCAATCTTTCATATTGTAAAGTTAATCAAGGTGAAAAAGTGGTTGACATTTTTTGTTGGCATTTTATCATCTTGGCATTACAAGATTCAATATCAATTACCATGTGTTGGTTCTTCTTCAGGCATATTTAATGACCTATTTAAAAAAAAAAAATTGAACTATTTTTAATATAATGAAAAAAAACAATCTTGTTAATAGTCTGTGATTATGTGCTGAGTCATGCATGCCAGCATACAATCCAAAAATATGAAGTTGTTTTCCTCACTATACATACACTCACTTCACCACTCAATTGAAGCACAAAACAATCTCTTTTTTCTTCCTTTGTTTCTTTTTTTCCCCTTTTTTCTTCTACTCTTTATGAAATAAAAAAAAAAGCGTTACGTTAATAAAAAATCACAAACTTGAACTACTTTTAACTTCATCCTCAAATATAAACAAACTATAATTATCTCATAATTTGTATATTAAATATAAAACAAAATTGACACACACTATTAGTACTCTAAAACATTTATTCAAGATGCATTTATTGAG